TTAGGACCAGCCATAGGATCAGCAATGAATGCTTAGAAAGTAATACCGCTGACCAACTTCGACGAGCGATACAACGAGCTGAAAAATAAGTTAAGAATGATTGTTAAATTACATTCACAATTAAATATCATGAAATCCAACTTGCAATAAGCAATAATCTAATCTAAACATTATCATAACGAATATTCGTATTGTTGAAGTGTAGGAGAGCTTAACTCGGTATCACTTACCAAATACAAAGAGTAAGGCAAAAAATTGAAATGTTCCCAAAAAACTTTGAACAAGAAAGCTTGTAAAGGTCATATTGATTAGAAGATTATAGCCTCCCTAGATGAATAAATTGTTATTCGAATATATTAATTCTTTGAAAATGATTAGTAACTACTCCTACTGGTACATTTTTAGCAAATTATGAGATATATTAAAAAATCGTTAATAAAAATTAAATATTCAAGGCCAGATTAGTCTTCGTACCGAAGTAGTAATAAGTATCCCAATGGCAAATAATGCTGACGAAAAAATCAACCGAAATAGCCATTGAAATCGACGACAGCTGGACGGCAAATCTTCAACCACAGCTGATGTTGCAGTTTCAAGCAAAATGGCCTGAAATGCAGTAAAAAATTCAAGGATGTGACAAATGTATCCAAAATATGCAATTATTATGAGGATCCGAAAATTTAAAGAATATAATCCACTTTTTGACAGTAAAAAATTGTTGTTACCGTTGATGAAGATCCAAGCAGGATAATGAGGACATAGAAGATTATTAGTATAATTTTAGCAGTTGTGAAGTTCACAGTTCTTGTTAGCATCGGAAATATTGAATACAACAGCAGTGGACCTTTAGAATTTAGAAGTAACGTAACTTAATGCAGTTATAAAGCACTAATTTTTACTTGTAGCAACAAAATTTATTTAAATTTGTGCATTAAGGAAGCTAATCAGACTGTAAGCTATAGTAAATATTTATTTAATAATACACAGTATTATGCAACAATATATTAAAAATGTTATTTTAAGTCCCTGTATACAGTTATTATGACTCTACTTAGATCATGATACTGATGTCGATAACTTTAGAGACTAGATGCGAATGCGAATAAAATTTATCGTTTAAGACTGGCTTACCTTGACTTGTTAAAGAGTTCACTGATACTTGTACTCGATTTGCTATTTCACCAAGATAGCCATATACCATAAAAGCACAGGCAATACTAACTAATGGAGAAAAAATAACTGCAACTAGCGCATTCCTGTAAGAAAGTCATTCAATTATGTTTAAAGATCAGATCGCAATTACTCGATATTGATAGCTATTACGTGGTCTTTATCCTTAGATTGTAAACTATAGAGCAGTCTTTAAAATGATCTGTAGAGCTATTTTGAAATAGCCAATTTATCTTACACTTGATCATAGCATTTTATATCAAATTTAGAGATTTAATTGCTAGTAAAATTCTAACTACTAGAGTATAATATTTACCAAAAAGTATTCGTATCAGCTTTATTGCGACTTCCGAAGTAGATTAAGCAACCAGAAGCAACAAAGTAAGTTTGAACCGCTTCCGCCATAGCAGTCCACCACGTCTTTGCTAGAAGAAGAGCATTAAAATTAGCCGCAACTAAAAATTGAAAGCCGGTGCTGGCGCCATTTAATTGTAAGGCAAAAATTAGCAGTGATAAAATTAATCCTATCACTCCTAGGATAATAATGTAAGCGGCCTATAACAGAGGGAAAATATGAAGCAATCATCCGTTATTCGATAGTAGTTGTTATATAGATAATCAATGAAAAATTTTTTCAGGTGATTGTAATCGTAAAATTCTTTATAAGATAAATATTCAGGAAAAAGTACATAAAGTGATGGAACGATTAAAAGTATTAATAGAAACTGTACAGCTTTTATACCCTGCGATAAAAGTGAAATCCGATACAAATAAATAGCCAAGTTGAGCCCCATGCTGCCGCAGAAGCAGCTAATAGTTCTGGTTGAAGACTACCAATTCCCGATGGAATATAGGCAAGAACACGATATCTAACAAGGAGTTTGAATCAATAAAAGTATGCAAAGTTAAAACCCTTACGCAAACCTTCGATACAACTATTGAGCATGGATAGTCAGAAGAATAATTATTATGATATTAGGAATATTTGTTGACTAGAAGTTATCATGATAATGGATTGATAGTATCGTATGCAATAAAATAAAGTAATTGGATATTCATAATTCTAATTACCGCATATTTAAATTAGCATGATAGAAATGAACTAATCTATTTCTAACTTTAATGATATTATATGCATTGTAGTAACATCTTAAGGCTCTCAGAAAAATTACGCTTAAGATTGTTAGAAGTAAAAATTTAGCTGTAAGGGCCACAAAAGATTATAATTTGCTGATATACTAACAAGAAATATTCAATTTCTGGTGTAGTGGCGATTTGCTGAGATTCAACGCAAATTCCATTTTTTAACGTTGGAAGATTAATGATATTTTTACTAATTGCCATGGTAGATAGCGAAGTAGCATTCACGACACATCTATAGGTATTCCACGAATTTGTACATGTATTCCACGTAAAAGTATTATTATTCGCGCTTAATCCAAAGAAAAGGTAATGAAATGCATAGCCCATGGAAGGAACAGTATAGACCAAACTGAAGAATAACATTAAAACTTTACCATATCCTAGACCTGTTAGAAGATAGACAGTAATAATAGTAAATTAATTTACTTTCTTATAAGTCTTTAATGAACTTAAATAAAGAAGAAATGCATTGTAACTTATTAATTTAAATCTAAAACAAATTGAAATATCAATTCATCAGTATTATATCACTAATGATTTATCATGATTTTAAAATCGACATTTGTTCTCAATACAAAAATGTTTTTATAAAATATTATAATGAAAAATTTTAAAATAACGACTAATTAAGGAGTCCTTGTATTGTTTACTAGTATGAATTTCAATAATGTATGGTTAGAAGTAAAATCAAAAGTTAACGTATACTACGATTGAATAAATAGTCTAAGTACTCTATGCTGTAGCTATTTTATTAGCTTGTGAAAATATAATCTAGTTATTAAATGAGCTACTTCGTAGTTATTTGACAATGGTGTGTAAACAGATAAAATTTCTTCATTGGATACATTGTAATTTCAATATTTAATCACGTATGAAGTTATTACTTCATTATTCAAATCGCAGATAGGATACGTTTAATTACATTGTTACCCTATTCGTATGTTATACTCTATCGGGAACAATGACTGTAGGAATTGATCTTCACTGATAGCTAAAGACAAATAAAACTATAGAAATCTTTGAGGAATAAAAAATACAACTGGGCACAAAGATAAAAATTTTCACGGAAATAAGCAATCCTAAGTGAAAACGAAGCCACCAATAGCAGAACAAGAAAAACCAATTACAATATTACATTGTAGATGATAATATAAAAGGATGATCATAAGAATTATAAAGGAGTAAAATTCAAAGTTCTTAACATTATAACTTGTAGTATAAATTATGTCTTGAGGAGAGAAATATTAAAAACAAACTAATGTATCTTCTGTCATAGCAAGAAGAATTATAGACGGTGCTGAAGCTCGAGATTTATTCAGTAGAACGACAGTAGTAAAAATAATGGCAGAATACTCTCAATGACTAGAAATCTATAGCCCTTATTTTAGTGCGTTACAAGTCGATACTGATCAGTTTTATATGGTTAAAACTGTTACTGCATTCTTAGAATAAATAGTTCAATGATATTTTGATGAAATCTATCGACTAGCCAAGAAGTTATGAATATCAACTATTAAAGGGGCCTAGGTTAAGAAGGAGTCATGTTTCCTTAAATAATTCAATTCAAGCAGTTGATCTTATACAATAAATAATAGTAAGGATTATAATTGAGATTTTAATTAGAATGGATAGGCTGTGCATTTCATTTCCCTATATGCTAAATTCAGTCATATTTAATTAGTATTGCAGTTATTTGCCAATAAACCGAATGGATAGCAGCTCATGAACGATTTGTCGTATGAGTCGAAAATATACTACTGACTTTAAGAAATAGCTCACTAAAAATATGATCACGGCTAAATCCCATAGAATATCTTCTTGCTCGGTAGTAAGCAAAGAATTACTACAAAATAGAAATCGAAACGATAAAATAACCTCTAGTTTTTCTAGAACTATATTCTTAACGGATATAAATGTGGATTTAACCGATCAGTTTATCTTACTAACGATGAAATCATCAAACTGTTGAAATAACTGATTCTACAATGTTGAAAATAGTACATCAAATAGTAATCAAAATCATCAAATTACTAAGATATTCAACCTTACAATACTGTGAATGGAGCAGGATCGAGCAAAAAGATCAAAATCTTCATCAATTTAATAAATAAAGTCGTCAAAGCTATGACGTAAATTGTTACATTGTTAAAGAAAGACTCGACTATGTAACACCAGGGAAGAAACTAGAGTTCTCCTTAATCGAATTAACGGCTAATTCCTGTAAAATGATCAACGAATAACCTCTCAAGATCATTAGGGAAATTGTTAGATTAAAGGAGATTCCATAATTATCACTAAAAGTGTACTTGAACTAGCAGACAGGATTAAGTCTTAATTCAATTAACAAATTCTTTTACTAAAAGTATCATATTCAACTATTATTCTGTTCGATCATATTGAAAAAGTAAAACTAAAGTTATGGAATAAAATCAAGTCGATATCGTATAGAAATGTTACTTGATCCTTAATCAAAAATAAACCCTTAGAAAATCAATCAGTAAGCTTTGTCAATGAAAATAAAATTTCTTCATCTACGATTGTATTGATGTGCAAGAGCGTAAACTTGGTTTAAACCAAATACGTATGTTAACATGGCTGTCAGATTTGTTTGTTATACAAGTATGGCTCAAATCAATCTCTATACCACCTAGTTTTATATCGATAAGGGATCGTTATAGGAAAATTACCTTTAAAGGCCGACGAAAGCTTACTCCAAGCACGAATTGGGCCTCGTTCGGTTAAATGGCCAATAACCATTTCTAAATAAGTTCCGGGCAAAACAACGACAAAGATTGCTATAAAATACGGGATCAAAAATGCTCCTACCATACCAAAAAGATAAAAAAATTCCGGTGTTTAATAACGATGATTTGCTTTTAAATTTATAAACGACTTCTCGATAGTAAAATGGATATAGGCTATAATAAGATAGAAATCATCGACGCTATCAGTCATAAAGAGTAATTCATATTGACAGTAATTGACGATATCGTTAAGAATTAACTTAGATCGTCTTGATAGAACCCTAAACTGAATCATTTTTAAAATCTTGATTGTGTTGTACCATGAAAGATAATCTATACTCCTACAATATGAACTGATTATTTCAACTAGATGGATTGATATCATGTAACATTCATTACTTTGATGTACTCTTAAACTTGTTTCTAAGTAATCAATTTCTTTTAATGTACTTTGTACATAGTCTATCACTGATTGTTTTGCAGTAGTAATTGGCCGAGACAGAGAATGTGATCGATGTACTTTTCTAAACATATGCAAATACAAAGATACAACACTGTTTAATAATGGCTATCGTTCAATAAGTTATCTCAAGCTGTTACTATCCTTACCTCCGCCATTAGCGTACATGGCATAAGGAAAATGCGAAATTTGCCCAATAAATGTTGTGAAAGCAAGCAGAGCGAATTGGTAACTAATGACAAATTCTGCTCTGCGACCAGGCGTTGTTAGGACACTTCCATCGCTGTCGTAGTCAGCCTAGACGGAAATAGCCATTGATAAGATTTGCTTTTAATCATGATAAATTTATCTAATTCATGATATACAACCCATGTAAATTAGATTCGAGCAAACTATAATTATTCAAGGAACTGTTAACACAGATTACTCAATCGATATCGACTGTATTACTGTACAAATTCCTTCTTAAAACTGCAACTTATCACCAGGGGAATTGAAAGAAATTTCATGTTTGATGGACTTTTATGTCATTTATCGTTTCATATTGAAAATTTGATCGTATATCGCTACTAGTATTGCCTTATTTGTATCATTTTAGGTTTATTTCTATCGTGATGTTTGATAGCATGCTTAAAATGGATCACATCGGAAATCACTACTCTAGTTAGTAAAGTAAAGATTGAATACAAAGTACTCTATTGCTTATTCAACGAATTTTGATGCTTTAATTTCAACAGGGTTACGGTTAAAATTTCACCCTATTCTTCATTTTAACCATCCTCTCAAGACTGTGGTTCAAGATTAATCTATCTATCGTAGTATCATAATTAAATAAAAAATATGAAGTTGGATCTTTTCCCTTCTACTCCTATTGAGTGAGTTATCTAACTTATTACCATTTCAACTTACCATCTTTTCTCTCCCACGATAGTCAGCCTACCCTTAACACTTGAAAAGAAGGCAAACTAACTGCAATGACTAACAATAATCTCTTTTTGTCAACCGATTCAATTATTCGTCATCCAGTGTTATGTTAGGGTAAGATAACTCCATCCAGGACTTTTTAATTCATGTTTTCTTTGATGATCAACGCCTATTGAGTCTTTATTATAAAGGCTAACAACAGATTGATTATGGCGTCGCTGAATTTATACCATAATTTTAAACAGACTGCTCATTCTTGAATAAAGACGATGCCTTGATTGACATTCATAGAGAGCTCTACACGCCCTATTGATATTTCACGCTCATCTAATCTTGTCTCTATCATTACTATCATCGACATGTGTTGTATAATTGACCATGATTCAATTAGTTATTTATACTTTATTTTACTATAGGTCTAGAGTAAGAGCAAAAGATATTGTCAGTTTTGAGCTGATATCCTATTACTATGTGGTAGTGAAGTTTAAAACGAGTTCGATTGGATTGATTAAAATAGATGAAATTGAGTAAACGGTCGCTAGCCATGGATAGTGTCATTAAATAGTTAAAGTGACGACTCTTATTGCTTTAATTTCGATATTGTAAGTTATCATCGATCAAATTGGTAATGGAACTTATATCTCTTTGTTGCATTAATTTAATCCTCTCGTTAGAAATGAATGAAAGCAATGGCGTAATGATGTAGAAGAGGATGAATATGGCAGTCCTGAAAATAGCTTAGGAAAGGTCTCTTACTACGTAATGACTCCATCGGCTAATCTATTCTCTCCTACTATAGCCATAAGACGAAATCAACTAGATTGATTAATTAAAATAGATTGCATTCAATAAGCTGTTGCTAGTCATGGATATTGTCATCAGATAGATAAAAAAACAATGTCCGTTATTGCTTTAATCTAGATACTGTAAGCGATGAAATAGGTCAATAATTAAGTAAGTGTCTTGAACGGTCTGTTCACAGCGTAGTTGTATCATCGATTAAATTTGCAATAGAGCTTTAATCTTTTTGAGGCATTAATTCGATCCTCTTGTTAGAAATGAATGAAGGAAATGGCGTAATGATGTGGAAGATGATGAATACGGTAGTCATGAGTGTAACTTAGGAAAGGTCTTTTTCTACGTAATGACTTAATCGGCTAATCTACTCTTCTACTGTAGTTATACATTTATTCAATCCTCTTATTACAAATGAATGGATGAAATCGCATGATCAAGTGGAAGATGATGAATACGGCAGTTATAAGAATAGCTCAGGAGCGGCCTTGTACTACGTAATATCTCAGTCGGCTAATGTATGGCCACAGGATGGAATCAACTTGAGTTTCCCGGTGATTCATCGCTTCGTAATGACTAATAGATTGCCCTAAATTATCTATTCCACCGCACCTCAATTCTAAAGAAAGACCACAGAGACAGTCCAGACTTCTGAGGAACAGTTATGCCAAAGTAAACATGAAAGAATGGCTACCCCGCAAGTAGTAATTGTTAAAGGCACCTTGTCATTACTACAATTTTCTAGCAACGACCGTTTCCAACCATAATAATTACGCTTTTACTAAGGAGAAAATGCCCCCTCTATTCCAGATAAAATAAAATAAATTGAGATTAAATAGAAAACATAAGTTGTTGTAGATTTTTCAACATACGAGTAATGGCTGAACCAGAATAATATTTGCAATCTATATTGTGTTTTGCTAGGGGCAGTGCTCCGACTCATTAAAGAAAATAGCACGCTTTCGCTAAATAAATAAATGACGTCAATCTTCTATCATCTTACTATTTAAAACTAGACCTAATGCTACAGTTTTTGTTGCCAAACAACGTCAACTATGTAGGACTAAACTGTATGACTTCTACCGTACCTATCCAATACGTAAGCATCATTTTCATATGTATAGTTGTACAGCGTTCTAGTTTATTGATGAACAATATTTGCATAATCATGCTAATTTGGCTCCGCATTGGATATATTCTAAGGTAGTAATTATTTATTCATTTAATGCAGCCATAGATCATAGATAAATTATTTTACTTTTTAAAAATCATCACTTTTCAAGGCTTTGAATAAGTAAAAGAGTTTAGCTAGCAATGCTTTGACTGAGTAAAGAGTTTAGTGAGAATGATTATTACACGGGAATCTTTCTGGCTTTTCCCAAAATGACTGAGTTATTGCTGTACATTATATAGCTTACTATCGTTATCGATCACGAACAAACCAATTTTTGGTTTGTAACAGCCTCACGGCTACTATGTTACTTTACCGTTTTTTCATCAGCCAAAGCCCACTAACATACTTTATTCTATGTAAACCATTACACAGTTTTATGATCACTTTCAATGCTTTGAATAGTAAAGGGCTCAGCTACTGTAATAAGATGGAGTAAAGGATTCAGTTAGAGTGACTGTATGATAGACTTGAAAATCTTTCTAGCTTACTTTGACATTTTTGTACCAACGTTGAGTAAGAGATTCAGATACAATAACTGAAACATTGATTTTAAGAATCTTTCTAGCCCTTTTTTCGCGTTACTACTATTTAGATTAGCTAGAGAGTCAAATAAATGCACTACGGGCTTTAAAACTCTCGATAGTCTGTTACTGTTGTATATATCTGGCTATTAAGGTGATTGGGCTTGCTTAATACTTCAGATCAGTTTTAAAATGCAAGAACTTTGTACGTTGATAATTAATTAGGCTTAACACTAGTAAAGAAATTTTTAGTAACATCATAGGAAATATCAGCTTTTCAGTCAATACGAATTACCGTTTACTATATTCTCTAATGAATATACCAAGTAACTTTATCTACCGGATAATGCATGCATTAACAAGCCGTAATAGTTCAATCAATTGATTCATTAAAGGAATCGGAATTAGAAATAAACCATGAATATGATACACCATTTCAAAATTCGGTTGGATTGTAAAGTAAAGGTTGCAGAGTTACGAAATTGAGTTACTTTTTCTATCAATGCAAAGAAGCATAATACGAAATGCTGTAAATAGCAAATTTACTTTATCAGCGGTATAGTAGTTTTGCAGTTTTATATCGGTAAATATCGATATATAATAAGTTTATATAGTATTTTCGTCCCAAATTTGCAATTTTACAAATATAGAGCATTAAAAATATGTGCTTTTAACTTCTAGGATAGGCTACTTAATACTCAAAATCAGCCCAAGTTTACCGATAGTGACAAAGTTTTTTTAAAAATTAGCAATGTACTCGTATTTTTATGGGATCATTATAAGCTAGTTCTTACTTTAGTAAAATTAATTACTTAATATAATCAAGGATAAGGTTGGATTTTTGCTGTTATATTTTAGATGCAGTATCGCTATAAACTAGTTTTAAATGATAGGTTTCGGCACTATCTAATACTGAATCAACATTCATCGACATATAATGGATAAATCCAACGTCCATATTTAAATTTCCATGCGGCGTGATAGCACCAATCTTATTTTGGCGATATTTATAAAACACCTGATAAATGATAAATCCAATAAATATAGCCAAACTTATTCCAAAGAAGACCCAGCCTGCGATTAAGAGAAAATTAAGAGAGGCCGGAAAATTGGAAAATAAGCTGTTGAAGTAGTACACGTCGTAGATCTAAAAATAATTGTAACCGATATTAACAATGTTAGTAAATCGAAATGGATGGAATAAAAGCATAAAGTGATGCAAATTTAAGATAGATAAAGGATTTAAATTATGTATTTCTAGAAGAATTTTAATAGCTCAAGCTTACCACATATATAATAAGCGAAACCAGAGCGATGGGTAGCCAGAGCATGAGTAGACGGTGTTGACTTAATCGAATATAGTTTACGGTATTTCGAATCATTCGGGCTCTGACTGTAAGTAATTATTATTAAAGAAACAACATAGTTATAAAGTTATAATTCTCGTCAAGTTTAATAAAAAAAGGGTCCCATATTCGCACTTTATATCTCAATATTACAAAATTATAACATTTTCAATTTCTAAATTAGTGCAAGTGAAATTTTAGCCTTAATTCATTAAAGGTAAAAGCTACTAATTTACATCCATCTACTCTGAGTATAAATTACTAAAATTGAATTATTTCATCATGAAATAAACTCTGTTAGCTAAAGAATCAACGATTAATGTTAATCATGCCTTGCGATATTGAATTAAGGATACTAAGCGATTACTTCTTTAGTAGTCTAATAACAGGATCTATGACTAATTAAAACTAAATCGTAAAGTATAATAATTGTTAAAAGTCCTTTAGGATCAATTTTATGGGTTATTTAATCTTATGGTTTATATGTGTCGGGACTTACTAAACAAAAAAGCCAATCCTGCATACTGAAAAATGATAAGTAGAGTTTGTACAAGGGCTACAGCTTCGTCTGTAGCTTCTATAAATCTGAGTCCACCCTATTATTCATTAGTTTATAAGATCGTAATCAGTCAGTATATTACAGAAAATGGCACGACTAGAGAAGCCAGTAATTATAATTATTTAAGTAGAGCATGTTACACTCCCTTTAATATTCTATTTATACCCGGGTAGTATAGATCAATCCGATGCAATTTAATACGGCAATAAAGCCAATTCGCCACAAAACTTTATAACGCTTTAAATATCCATCAGGAATTTCTTCAAATATCGCGTCAAAAGCAACCTCAGTAAAGATTGCCTGTTAATAAAAAGAAAATTTCACTAGTTGTAGACATAAAAAAGATATCATTGCATCAAAGTCTTTGAGTCTTACACGAGGTATCAAATTTAATTTTAATACTTTGCAAATAAATAGAGTATGATTAAGATGAAGTTGAGGAAACAGATAACCTTTAGGACCTCGCATTCAGAAACTTTAAAGCAAATAGTGCGTATTGCAGATGACAGCACATTAATCCTTAAATTGGTAACAAGCCTCAGTCAATTTATTTATAGAATCTGCCACTGAATATCACTATTAATGCCCCCCCCGTTCATGGTAAGACTAATTACTACAGACTATAAACAAAATGATTCCATAAGTTATAGAGCTGCCTTTAATATCGATGTTGAAATCGTAATAAAATTTAGGAGTGGAGATTTATTTTGTTGCTAGTTAGACTATGGATGTGTATCATTCCGCTAAATGCTAATATAAATGAATTACAGGACCAGATTAACATAAATACTGCGATACTAAGTTAATGTTGAATAATTTTATATTAAATAAGCTAAAGCTACACCTGTCTATTCTCTGCCGATGTTTAGCATGTGTCTTAATATTAACGCACAACAAGATCTGCATAAACATCAATTACTGTTATTGCATGGATATATCTTGTACTACTTACCATTTTAGAGATGCATACTAGAATAATCAACGCGTAAAAGACGATTAACGTTACCCTTCCAGTTACAGTAAGTCGTGACAGTGTAGGAAATGCAACGTATGCAAGGTTAACGCCTAAGGAGGAATAAATAATAGAGCTTAATTCTATACCTTTCAATAACTCACAAGGTTATAGTCTTTTAGAAAATATCAATAATTACAGTATTTACTCAATGATATCTAGTCATTTAATCATTTTTATAATGAGAAAATAAACTACCGGTAATAAACCGTAAAAGACCTACTAAAGATTATCTATTTGATTTAGCAGTACTCATATTCTACAACGATAATTATTCTATATTTATTTACTATTGGCCATTTGTGCGGCAAAAAGGTTAACTAGATTGATAATACGAGCAAGCAAATTCTTTCTTATTATTTGTTTCAAACTTTTACAGTATAATTACCGCAGTAGACTGCTTGATTAAAGCTATAAAAGACGATCTTGGTATTTATCACATACCTAAGGTTATAACTTGAGTAATAGGAACGTTTAATTGAGAGGCAATGTAGGATACAAATGTAATCACCATTTGGCAGGATGCCAAGGCAAACATAGCAATGGCAATAATCGAGATTAAGGAATGCCTAAATGATAGTACCATCATGAGAATACATAAAAAAGTTGGTTCAGAAACACATGTGTCTTTTAAAAAAGGTTAATTTTGTTAAATTTCTATTAGCTATTTGTGTTTCATTCTTACAATAATTTGATTTTTGTATTAGCTAAGATTTATGGCAGTATCATAGCATTAGTATAAATCGTATAAGATCTACTATAAGCTTTTTGATGTCGAATAAATTATTTCAAATGGATCACCTACTCATAACAGTAGTTTCCATAGTAATGGATTAATAGTGCCAATATTGCTATGCTTGTTAATATGAACAGTAGTACTATTATTACTTATTTCTTGTAATTATGATTTAAAGTTAGGTAATCCTAAACTAATGTATTTCTAGGTGATTTTTCAATTAAAAAGCAGTGACTGTAGAGCGGCATTTGTGATAATTATAGGACAAAATTACAAGACTGTACAGGTATGAATATTAATGCTAACCAAAGATGATTTGTATTGGCTTTATTTCGACTTCCAAGGTGAGCTAGACATCCAGATGCAATTGAGAATGAGAAAATAGCTTCAGCAAGAGCTGCAGCCCAAGTAGCTGGTCTTGATAAAGGTAGAATCGAACTCTCATTAAAAAACTGAAATTTTGCATTAGGACTTGCTGGCAGAGATAGAGCAACGACTAATAGTATAGCGATGGCTGCAACGCTTAGAGAAAAAATTACATAGGCCACCTATAAAAAGGAATAAAATCTTACGTTACTTAAAGATCTTTGACTTCATCTAAATTTAATACATCACGATAGAGCATAAAATGATACATGATGGTATTTATGAGCGGTTATGCTATTAGAAAAATAGCTTCCCTAAATTATTTATTTATTATAACTGAAAAACTATAGATTTCTATCGATTGTTTACTTTCGAGAAACTATTCATGAGTGCTCTTGTGAACGATTTGGTCATAAATCGATTAAAAGTCAATCATTTGACTTTAAACGATACTTGTAATAATATAGTAATTAAATTTTAAGATGTTTCCTAAATAATGGTAATAAATCGATTAAAATCAGTCATTTGCCTTTAGGTGATATATGTAATAACAAAGTAATTAAACTTTGTAGCACTATTCATATGTTTAGAAACATATATATCATAGAAATTTAACCATATACGGATTGCTATTATTTGTAATATTAATAGTTATCACTATTTAGAAGCATTTGATAGAGTACCCTTCTAAATGAGGACAATCCTAAGAATATAGTGATGGCAACAAGTCCCCACGCTGTACATAAGCATACAACTTGCCATGGAACTATACCACCGATTCCTGAAGAGTTAATATTCAGTACCTGAAAACTGCAATCCAAAATAAAACGAGTATAAATGTTAATGTTAATAAATATGAAATATCTATTCTAGAATTAATAAACTACATCCTCTAGCTACTAAAAATATGCATTAAGAAAAAAAAAAGAGATCGATAATAATATATAATGGATGATAGACTTAGGCAGACTTACTACCAATACTCTAATTCTGGCATTCGAACCAATTGACCTGGATTAATACAATTTTGGTATGATGCTGTGGTAGTAGTAGGAAGTGCGGTATGAAGAGATGATGAATTTTCAATAATATTTCGCGAACAGAATTGATAAGTAGTTCGACAGTATTGAGTATTCCAAGAATTAGAGCAAGAATTCCATGGTGGATTAGAGCGAGGTTTAGTTATTAATGCAACCATGAAATAATAAAGCGCATAACCAGTTAGCGGAGCCATAAAAATAGCTGATACAATTAACATCATCACTTGAACGTAGCCAAGTCCTATTGATCATATAAAATATTGAAAAAATAGTTCGTAATCTTAGTGAATTTTATACGAGAGCTATTCAATAGAATGTAATAGGACTATTATGTTAACTTTCTACACGTTTAGCTGAGTTATGTACCCTTCCAAATTGGCATTAATTTATTCCAAGATTGTATAGTCCCTTTCTTTGCTATTTGCCCCATCAGCATTTCTAAGTAGCTCCCAGGTAAGATTACTACAATGAGTACCAAGATGTAGGGTACGAAGAAGGCCACTAGACATTAACATAAACAAAAATTGCTCATCAAGGTGATTCTAATCTATATTTTTATACACGTAACATTTAAATATCATCATAAAATTTAATAATATTATTAATATAAATAAAAGAAGTCATACATCACTTATTGCAATGATTGCAGGATAGTTTAAATTAGTACCGTATAAACTGATATAAATAGGGGCGACGAAAAATACGCATCAATTCTATTTGCAGATATCGTAATACTACTTACAGCAAAGACCTTTTAGACTAAATTATAGGCAACAAAAGTGAATCAGTACTATTCTAAATCTATATCTTTTACTGGATTTCTTCAACGAATCGATTTTAATCAGGTTAGACGTATAGATTGCCACTAATTCAAGTGCCTAAGGAATAGACCGTAATTGATAGCATTGCCATCTTAATTTATTATAATAGCACAAGTATACAAATACTTCTCAATGCTTCTGAGCATTAAGTATGGTGGTAACTCTTATAGTAGAAAGATTGTAAAGTACGGATAGAAGGGCTATGAAAAGCTCAAACAAATCTATATTACTGAATTTTTCAACGAAAGAGTTTCAAGTTAGGCTAGATATAGGTCTGTCCATCAAACGTTACTTCTTTGTTTACTAATTTAGTAACTCAAATTCATTGCTTTTTAGTCACGTATAGATTTACAAGAATCAAAGTACTTTGTACCTGCCACAACCGAGATTGTAACACAAGAATTAAACGGGATTCTTTCCTCTAAAGTAGACTTAACTATCTAAGCAACTAACTCTAAGCACTCTTTAATCAACCAAACTTAGATTCGAGTCTTAGACGATAGATTACTCACGTTAAGGATCAAAACTTTATTCTAGAAGCTATTTTATTAAAATGTCCGATTGAACGCACAACTTACAATTACGACTAGCAACTGATAACCATCTGTCATCGACTAACGTAACTAACTCTCAATTAAGAACTTTGAGACTTTATATATCCTCACTAACTTCGTTGGTGCAAAAACAGTAATTAATTAATAACCCAGTCTACATACTTATTATAGCCAGAATCACAACACACTTTCTATGACATTTAATATTAGTTAATTAGTAGCTAGGTGTCAACATATGATTCATCACACAACAAAATTATAATATTGATGATGCATTAATTAATGAATGTCACAGTACCAGAACAGAAGGTGCATTCATTTTTCAGTAATAAACGTTTAATAATTTAATCTATATCTATGAGTATATATTATGTGTGAACATACCTCTACCATTAAGATAGGCAATAAAAGGAAGTTTCCATATTTGCGAAACGGAGAAATAGAAGACAATTAAGGATAACTGGTAACTACATATAAATTCATAACGACCCCACGATGACGAAAATGATTTATGAGGAAGTTGAGAAATAGATTTCGATTCCTATAGATAAAAGTCCAGTTTTCAGTTTACATGTACTGGATAACATCATTTAACTTGCGAATGTAATTATAATTTTTATCAGTTTGGCTTTTAAGTACAGTATAATTTCTATCATACAGTATGGTACTAGATTGATAATTATTGTCTAACTCAAGGATAAAACTAGTAGCTTAAAATGTAGTTTTGGAACGGTAATAAGATAATTTTAAAAGATAAAGTTAGACAGTAGATAAAATGCTTTGGGTTATCAGATTTATAAATAAAATAGGGAAATATCATCGTTTCAGTATTATATCATTTATTAAAATGGCTATAGATTCTATGTTTCATTAAATAAATTTTAAATCGGCAAGATTTTCCAATATAAAAATCAATTCTTAACCATCTTGTTTACTTTCTTAATTGTTGGGTAAACTTAAAGTGTTATAAGACTATGCATGAACAAATTCTTTCGAAAATCTTATCCTCATTTTAGTTAGCCAAACTAGCAGAGGGCTAGTAGTGATAAATAGTAAAATTAGTAAACTACTAGAGAAACGATTTATAATACTAACCATTTCTCTATCATTCCAGTACTTTACAAAAAACTATACTATTCCTTAAATTTATAAAATCAACTCCAAGTAATCAGCCATTTTGCGATCTATGTACACTTCTTACTAACTAGAATAGCAATCTCGACTAGTCTTATTCATGGATAAAACTATCTATTAAATAAAGTACTCTAGGCATTCCCTAACCTATTAGCCAACTTTTCAAGTAATTAAACTAGCAATTGAAATTATTACTATGGATAGAAGTTGTTGTTTGTTAGAATGGGTGTATACAAATTAATTTCTGACCATCTTGCTCGCTTTCAATTCACTAAACAACAAATAGTAATCACTATTCATCGAAATAAGTTAGACTAACATTGTATCAATTATTTTCTTACCATCTTGCTATCTCTCAATTGGGATGAATTGAATCAGAGAGAGTTAAGGGCCTGTAAAATATTGAATTGGTCAAGAAGTTTAAAAAAATTGCGTCAAGAAAGAGAAAATTTAACGTTGTAAACGATACATTCTACGGGTGACAATAATATCAATGACAAAGGTTTCATTTCAACAGTCTAATGGTCACTTAATTTTATCAATTTTCATATTGGTATCATTTTAAAAAGATGCTTCATATTGCCTAATATCAACAATTGAATACTTGTTAAGCTCACTATCAGAATGGATTACGGATATCAAAAGTTCACCGATGTATCAGTCATGAGTAATTTTCAATCATGGGCTGTGGAATTTGAATCATACTACTACGCATTCTTCAAGATTACAGAATACTACAATTGCTTAAGCTATAAAACAGTACAGTTGCTGTACTTTGTAAAATAAAATGAAATGATTTTATCTTGTTGTTATGTATGATAGACTAGTAATGTCTAGGAATTAGGGCAGATAAATTGCATAGCTGCCTAACTGATGAGATAACCGTATAATACTAATATCGTAAATGTATTGACACGTTCACTAATAATTTACTAATACGTATGTAATAGATATATAATATCACTTGTGGCGAAGGCAACCTAGAATAAAGATGTGGACTCCTCGCTGCAGGCTACTTTGCAGCGTCTAACCTAGTATTGCGTGATTGACCTAGTGTCGCACTAGAGAACATAACGCTTATATTTACTAACTACGGTTAAAATAGAATAAAAAAAAAATTCAAACTATTTAAGCCTCCTTCCAGTCAGTGACAGTATAGAAACGCATTCACCGTCGATTAAAATTTATTGATATTCAATTACTATTTAGTCTAATTTACTTTACCAGAATTGATTGGCTATTGAAAGAAGCGTAATATAGAATTTGTGAATTAACTTAATATCTTCTTTGATGCAATTAAGTCACACGAAGTCAGAATGCTGTTGTGGTATTACCCAAGGAAGTTAGTTTATCAGCAATAGTCACATGAATATATACGGTATTACTGAAGAAAGGTTGCCTATTGCGAAGAATTTGATCTTACTATCGTTGAAAAAAAGGTAAAAATTAAAGCACTACTCATTATCATAACTGCATTACCATGCAATTGTTGGCAAGATAATTTCAATATTACTAAAATGATTCAAGGAACTCTAACATAGGAAGGATGGGTTATAATTTTACCTGAACACTTTTATCGCCTTTAAAGACCAAAATATGACATGTTGGCAGCGTGCATAACTACCACTTGTATGTTAAACTCTTTCGACCATTAATTATTCTAAGATTAAATCTGCGTGTAGATGAATCGTATGATAGCCAATATCATCCCTTTGAAGGGTAAAGCAATACTTTTTATTTAACAGATGCGTAATGTCATCAGTTGAATACAAAAAACATTGAAAAAGGATTTCCCTCGAGCTCGATCAACCTGCTATCAAGTTAATATATTATGATCGAAGTTTTTTTCTTGACTTGAACAATGTAATCTATAGTCAAGATGATGATAATAAAATTAAGTCAACGATGATTGGCCAAGGGAAAACAATACAAGTTAAAAATCTCCAAATTAAACTTAAGGCTTATGACAATTATTGTCCTTTCCTGACGTGATTATTATGCTGTTATGACATATATATAGAGAGAAAGAGAGAGTAAGATTGACAAATATACAGTAGATGGAAAAAAATACAATATGAATTCAAAATACTGCAATAGTAACTCTCCATTGACAGTTATGTTTTGCATGGTAATGTTAAAAAACATAGTTATTATGCATACTATATAGAATAGAATATAAGATCTCTAGCTTATTGATCACGAGATAACAGTATCCATTTGTTAATTATTTTACTCTTATTACAGTAATTTCTATTGCAAATCAATAAAGTTAACACGATTGAGTGTCTATAAGTCTACAATGAATTGGTTAGGATACGAAAATGCTACGGTGACATTGGTAGCTAAGTAAGACTGGAGCAATATGGTAACCAGGTCAATATGATCATGACCAATCGTAATAATGGTAAATCTCGATTGGTTTTTAAATCAGCAGTCGAACATCAGTCACTGAAGTAAATAATATTGTAAATTCGAGTATAATAGACGATAAATCGGCAAGTTGCGTTCCAATTTGTTTTAATTAATAGTATCTCGCTGATGATAGTACTACGCAGCTATCATGATGATGTAGTCAGTAAATCGTGGCAATCGACGACAAAGAGTCTACAGTATGGTGGCAATCTAAGATTATAGCAAATCACTATCGATTTTAATGCAGGGATTGAAAAGCATCAAGCGTCGCTGTAAACTATGTACACATGCTATTGACTATAACCTGATATTTCCTTGCGTTGTATACGGTGTTGAGCTGCTACAAATATTCGTGAACAATTGCTATACTTGAACTAGCAAAGTCCGAAGAAGTTACGTTTGGCCATCGGCAACATTATGATAAACCGTGGCTATAGTTCACTTTACCTTCACTTTAATGCTGGAATTAATATTAATAATACGCTTCACGATAGATTTACGTACTTTGGCGGAAATTACTTCGATTTCAACTAAGATAAAATAATGATGGCCATTGGGAAATTTCTAATCATATCAAGATTTGTAGAATTTTTAAGGCTTAACTTGCATTCAGATTTACTTGGCATGCGTTATTATCACGGATAATGTACTCGGGTATTAATCAATATCAGACTTAGTCGATATTTTCCGAGCGTTTACAAAGGCACGATCAACTAACTGGGACATAAACAGTTGTATTTTCGATATTTTATGTTTAGAACGGAATTTATGTTGATAGAGTAATTCAATTGCATAAGCAAGGTTACTAACAATATTGTATTTTGAATTTGCTTTGAAATTACGAAATGAAGAATAATTTCTGCCCCGTACCCGCTGTACTCGTAACTACCAGAACATATACCTGCACTGGCATGTTACATCGATGCATGTGGAAGTTTGGAAGCTTTTTGATTCTTAAAAACTTTCAAATTGCCTATGATCACATACGAAATTCATCGATGTATTAATCTTTAATTCCGTCTAGCTCTTATTAACTTCTAATTATAAGTAACTTTAATAGATTAAAAATATCTGTAGTATCTACCTTTTGAACTGAGGGTATTAGCTTTTATTTTCTTTTGATTATAAGTAACTATAATGAATCAAATCTCTGTAGTATCTGCCATCGAGACTAGAGTATAATTTCGTCGCAATATTAACAAATTGCAATTATATTCGTGATCAATCTGCATAAGGTCCGCTTTAAATTGCAATTTATCATCATGGTATACGTAAACTGAAAGAAAGGCATTAGACAACGACATCGCATTTTCGCTTATTTTTCTGTAACCTTTATGCTTTGCAATTTTTGAATCAGTACTGAAGTTAACAGGGTGTAATAACCCTGCTAGATTTTATTAAATTTTTACGATAACGTAAAGCATGATGACAAATTATCCAGTATCACTAGCAAAACGTTGTACATCATATAACTACATTAATCAATCACTAATCGTTAACAAATACTGAAAATTGTTGCTACAGCGCACATAAATTTATGTTATTCGCTTTTATTGGGCAAATTCGTTCATCATTTCTTCGTAATAAATGTCCTATATTGAAGACTTATTTACCTTAAAAAAAGTTGATTAACTGAGGTATTTCTCAAATCATATCATACAATAACGGTAAACTATAGAGAATTATCAAAATATAAGAGTCCTACAAAACTTAGATATAGCTGTTAAATTACAAGCAGATAATCTTTTTCCATCTATTAATATTATCATTTCTTTTATAGCATTTAACTGTATACAGCGTATTGAAAAATTGAATTTTGCTCTACTTAATATCAATTTGCTGATATTATCCACTTCTACACAATTTAATGTATAAAATGCATATAGCATATTGAAAAATTGAATTATGCTCTACTTAATATCAATTTACTGATATTATCCACTTCTATACAATTTCATGTACAAAATAAAAGATGGGGAAAATTAAGCTTCTATTTCATTAATGTTTCATACTCATATCTCATTATTAGCACAATGACTATTTTGCAATTTATCCGTTAAGAAGATTGTCTGATATCAAATCATCAAATTAAAATTTTCAAGTTTTATACAATGTCGTATCTTTGTTAAAATGCGCTAAAGGATTTATGTATTGAGTTAGAAAGTTAGAAGGATTCGTCTCTTTGCCATATTATTATGAATCAATTAATAGTGTAAACGCATCAGTTATTTTTAGCCGTCTAATTGATCGTGAAGGCAACCAACTTGCTGACTTCCACCCATAAAGTAATGACAGCAATGTTTTTGGCTTATACAAATAACAACTTCATAAAATATTAAATCCTCGCTCTTATACTGCATGTTAGCCCGATATATTTTGAATATCTTCATTAAAAGTTAACGTGGGTAATACTATTCTAACTATGAATCGATATTATCGCCTTACTAATTGTCTGCTGAATTTATACATCCTGATTGAGAGTGTGTAAAGGCACCGAACTATATTGTAATCGATGATTAACAATGTCAGCTCGATCACCTCGCTTGGGTTTGTAATCGCTCTGATGAATTGTTTGATAGTTGTTCAGTCTGTAATCCTGAATTTTAGCATGAGTTTTTCGTTGCTAATAAAGATCAAAATAAAGGCAAGGTTGAATAGAATTAAATTTTTTAAAATTAATCTCATTACAAGTGAATCAATCAATAAAATCGGAAATTCTGTCGATAGGATACAAATATTATAATTTTTACATTTACAACCATCATATAACTAAAATAAATCCACTTTCTTACGTAAATTAGGTAATAAAATATTCATAAGACATACCTAATGGTATCTAATGAAATTTTATATTTCGTGAAGATACAATGATCATAATAAACAGAAAATAATTTACTTGATTTACATTTTGGTGGATTGCCTTCTCCTTCACTTGCAATGGCAATGGTCGATACATGTCTTTCGTTTCAGGAAGATCATCGGATCGTTCTAATTCGAAAAATCAAAATGTAAAGCTTCTGCACATTCATCGGTCAGGTAATAGGTAGTGTAGACCTAATAAGGTCGATTTTGTTTCTATAACACGACTGATACCTGATATTCCTTTCTTAAATATTTAACTAAACTATAAATGTACGATCAATACATTATTCTATGGACTATAATTATCCTGTAAAGCAGATATTTTTTACGAGTTAGCTTAAGCCATGAAAGATCATGATAACAGTTATAACATTATACTCTTTGCCTATTTCACAGATACTAATATTGTAATGGAAATAATATCACAATAGTATACCTTTAAATCATTGTTCACTATCAATTTGTATATCTGTGTCATTACAGGAAATTAAACACTACTATTGCGGCTAGAGACTAATGTTTAGATTTTTCTGCTTTAACTAATTAGTATAGAATATAACACAATAGGGGATATTTTCATAAGTTAGATTGGAAAATATTATTAAATTAGACATTCATTACCACCGTAATTAGCTTAATTCTATTAATTAGTCGATATTAATTGATAGTTTTACCATAATATTTTAATGGAACAGAACTCTCTAGTTGCTTAGGCATCAAGTTTTTTTCCAGTCTCATCGGAATGAAAGCTGATGACATTTCAGTTTTAAAATAATTTTGATTTTTTTCACCGCTAATTCGGACGCTTGAAACAGCATGACGTGAAGTATTGCCAGCACGAGTAGCAGTATGATCTAAGTACTGAAAGAATCGAAATTAAATATTGCAGTCAAATTCTACTAATTTTTAAAGTTTTTATACCTCATCAGCACATGCAGGATAAAAATTATTTGCAAACCATTAGCTTGTTGCCTATACTTTAACAAGGATTCTACAGAATTTGTTCTTTCCGTATTATTTACAATTCTTTCTTACCTGAGGATAGTCGCTTTTGAAAGTTGTTGTTGAGGTTCGTTCCCTACCACGTTGATAATCAAGATCTCCACCTGGTAGAGAACTCTGAATGTGTTTAAAGCGTAAGCTTTTGGATTTGTTGGTAGCATCTGAAATTATAAGCGGTTAAATATTTTAGGTGAGTGCGTATAGCGTCAAATCATTCCTCTAATCACATAATTTAAAATTTAAAATTGCACTATCAAATAGAATCTAATAAATCTGTTGATAGACAATGATATTTGATCGCAAAATTTAGATTTAAATTAAATGTATCAATTTGGCATGGGGATATTATCGTATATAATTAATTTTGGTCTTGAAATTACTCTTGCAATTATTTAAAGCCCAATTGGTATATCCCATTAGCATATTTCAAATAAAAGTTTTGTAGATTGAACGGCGTTAGTAAATGTTGTAACCATGCAAACGTACGGTACCATATACTAACATAACACCGTGATTTATTACTAAAAATTATTTATGTTACATAAGTATATCGCACAGAATCTCCAATTACCTGTTATTTTGGGGTTGAACGCATCTTGAGACGTTGTATTAAACATTTGATCATTAGAACCTAATCTAAATGTTGTTTCTTGAAAATTATAAGCAGATGTTGGTTTAGCAGGTTTAGCGTTCAGGGGGACAAAAGTTTCTTGATGTAATGTTGATTTCACTGCCAACTTTTCACGATCACCTTGAGGTAGATTCGAGCCGAGTAGCTATAACATGAAAAATGTAAAATAATTAGGGTGATAATATTGTATCTATTTTACTATCTATAAAGTTGTCAGGCCATTAAATATGGGTAGCAGATTATCAGCATGGAGTGAGATTTATCGTTGCCATAGCAACCTAACGCCAGTTTAACAGTACTATGGTGAATTAGATGACGATTTTTATGTGATTATTGACGATAACTTTATTATCCAACCATAAAAAAGACAATGATTCTGCCATAAAATAATTCTATTATAAAATCTTTAAGAGATTGAGAACTTACTGGAATGTTAGCCAAAGGTGGCGGCTCAACATATTTACCAGTGTGAGCTTGCTGCGATGTAGTAGTATACATCGATTGAGGATTTCGACGATCTCCTGCAAGGGTTCCTTTATTACTAATAAAAAATTCTTTCGTTGCAAACTTAGGACGGCTAACTGCATGAGCTGTAAACGATTTCCGATAATCCGATATTGGGATCTCAGTTTTCATTACATCACCAAATGCTATACCGGCGTTGGCGGTTGATAATTTTGGTTTCGATGAAGGCTCAGCAACAATTGGATGGCGCCGATAACTTTCACTATTAGTGCTAATACCACCACGGAATACTGGATCAGTGAACATTTTAAATGTCGTTGCTCTTAGCGCTCTTTCTTTAGTATTATTACCATAAGCATCTCGCTGTTGACTATAAAATGCACTTCCTCTGTCAACGAATTCATTGCGTGTAATCGAATTCCCTACATGACCCAAATGATAGTCATCTCGATGCATGATATTTGCTGCAAGTGGAGCAGCACAAATGTTCGATCTAGAATTTGTATTCAAAGGAAGATAATCCTCTTTAAAGCTGCTTTCCATAGTATAGCGGATGTAGGTTGGATCTTGTGATATCTTAAAACTGGATTGATAGACGGCCATCCTAAATTTTATGTCGAAATATAAGCGGAGACGATTGGTATTACTAAATAATTTGACTATAGGTAGGGTAATAATGTCCCAGTTATAGACTTGTATTATTATAGTACTTTGTCTTATAAGACAGCTATGACAGGGCTACTGTGATTTACGATCTAATACCATTATAAATAAAATCACTAAGCTAATTTATTTTATCCTATAGACTATCGAAAGAAATGACTAAAGATTTAGACTCTTAAACAAATTCGTTAATAGCCATACGAAACTATTTGCAGCGTTAATCTGTAATTAAATTCTTCCATTTGTAAATATCATACTGCTTCCATCGAATAACATGATTATAAGGTAGAATAACTCACTTATTTTAGGTCTTGTTCTTTCTATTCCGTCTGTTGATAAAACTCTTGCGCTATGTCAGCTTGCAGTCGGTAACTATTGGTAGCTAATCTTAAATAAATTGAAATAAATACTTGTAAACTTATGACATTATCGGAAACTCCTGAACACTAAAAGATGCTGCCTATATTCGATGAGCACTATACGTTGCTACACTAAATTTTAATAATTCACTATGCACTGGATGTTATAACAATCAACCCATTGACGCGTTGTTAAGGAAAACTTATCCTATAATTTAGTATTATCCCTAATAACAAGCATACGTGAACATTGTCATTGTATTTAAGAGTAATTATCATAACAATTGATAATTAATAACGTGGATTTCCTCCTTTATTGTAATCGTAAAATTATACTAACAGTAAATCAAATTAGAGTGCAGAGAATACTATAGATTCATGTCCACAGTGACGGTGAGCAGATAGTAAATTTGTACTACAGTTGTCGGTAGAAATGACAATAAAAGATCTTATACACATGACTAATTTAAATTTATGTCATGTTCTCGCTTGAAATGGAATTTTCCGAGCTAAGCCCTATTTTATTTCTCCGTAAACGTTATGATCATCGGCATCATTCATCGCCATTTCTATACGCAAAAGGTTATAGAGTGTGGTCATTTTGGGATTTTAATTACAATATTTTAGGCTATTACATAGTTTTTTAATCGTAAAATTTAAGACATTTGATTAGCCACGCACTCAACTTATGAACTTGTAAATTTACTGCATACTAACTAGCAAATTTACGCTGTACTGGAAGATCTAGATATAGTCCCCAAAATGAGCCTGCATATAGATTAAACTTATAATTTGTTCTAACGTCTATTTGTGAAAGATATTTTATTCGGAAATTGAATATTGTGTCTTATTTATTATGGTACTGATGTGAAGTACAGTACACTACTGCAAAATATACCCTGGTAATAAATAAAAAAATTTTGCATATGATCTATTGATAATTAAATTACTGACATGTAGTGCACTGTTTCAAAATATATCTTGCGGATGATATACTGTGCTATCAACTTTACGATACTATGAAAGTTAAAGAAAGACATGCAAGAGCTATTATTTTATTGAAAAACATGTGTTCGTATGGTAACTTTACCCACGAAAGTCAAAGTCAAGGCTTACGAATATTCATTGAAGTCTTTATAAATCTCTATATTAGGTCAATGTACACCTATGAATGTTCATGCTTTGAGATCGTACAGTATCATTAAGAGCCATTTCCAATTTTAAATCTAAGTAAGGTTATAGTACAGCCCAAATTAGCCTAAGATTACGACTGCAAGATTATAATAAGAATATTTAAACTTGTATATTAGATTATAACATTGTTCAAAGTGCCTATTAGTTGAAAATGATTACTGTACGTTTTGCAGTTATTCTATTGAGATGTTTACAGTACATTAAGATTCCGAGATACTGTACGTATAGTTTGTGCTAAGCATGTTAGTACTGCGAGACTTATATCATGACGCCTTAAATTAGAAGTGCGAATTATGAACAGGTGGCGAGTGTAATAATGGTTGCTCTTAAACTATTCCGAACTACTGGTTCACAGTAATGCTGAGACTGAGTGCCTTAGGATAAGAATAGCTTTATTATATACATAAAAAGGTTACAAAATATTAGCAATAAAAAGGTTATAGCTAATAGTAGAACGTTAGCCTAGTAACCTCAACTTGGCAAATCTGAGAGGCTACTTTAGCTCTCTCTCTAAGATCCTTTCATACTATCCAGGCCCATCTTATTTGTCAACATATTTTGAACAAAACTCTAACACAAATATTCCCATACGGGAACTATCATTTATTAATATTTCACTATAAACTATGACCATCGCTAGCCACACCTTATTTTCTTCCTCTTGACCCTTGTTTTGGCCTTTCGGAGCCAATCAGGTTACCCATTGGGCTCACAACTTCACCTCCCGCTAAGTAGGTAATTCCTGGCCTACGGTGTGACCAATCTGAGCCCAATCATCGCAGTTAAACAACAGTCTCGTGACCGATCCAACATAGCGCTAACATAAAATCTATAAATATCTAATTCTAATACAAATCACATTATTTTCGCGAGATAGTAAATTCAGAATTGATCTCGCTATTTAATTGGCAAGATATGATTATGTAAAGGAAAAATCGTTCTGTAACTAATGGTATATGACCCTGAAATGCATTGAATAATGTATAATTACCTTAACTGCGTGAAATATAACATATACTGCACTTTCCAGAATCGAAATGATTAATTAACAATAATATAATATAGATGTCATAGTGCACGGTATGTGATGTTCTGAGTTGTAGAAGATCGTCTAGCTCTACATGCAGATCAACTGTAGCCACGTGTCACAACCCTCACTTGTGGCAAAGGAAAGTAAAGAACTCTAGTGTAGTTACTTAAAACTTGGGCTATTTCTCCCAGTACTTTCAGTTTCTATGAGAGAAGTATTTGAGAACTCGATTTCTCGGCTGATCTCCACAGACAACTGACTAATTATTACACTATTCTTCACGATATGAGTCTTGCCGTTTCTTGAGCAATTACTTTTTTATTCTACAAACACACGCGCTTAAATAGGTTTCTACAGTGAATTCCAATATTAACGAGTGAGAATTCATGCTTTACAAGTTACATTAATTAGTATAATACCATTACTAAATATACATGTCGATATTCTCAGACTTAGATAGCTACAAGCTATCAGGTGTTAAGACGCTTAACCTTCGTCCATATACAGCTCAATTTTTAGAGATTAACACACCTTATAAACCTACAGTAAATTAACTGCTAACAACTTCTATTTTTATCTCACTTCTACCATCCTATTATCAGCTACAAGCGCATTAAAACATAGCACATAACCTTATCTTATCTATTCATAAGCATTCATTAATTTACAGTTACTTAATTAGTAACGGCGTTCCGTGACACCACGATAATTCAAGGATGGTTGGTGAGTAGAGAGATAGAGAGAGAAAGAATAAAAGAGTGTGTATTTGGGTGTTTATTGAATTAAAACAAGTTTTACGGTCACGATGATCATACGTACGACAAGCTTATTTTACTATCCTTAAAATTAGCCTACCTTATAGTGCATGTTTATTTATGATAATCAATCATGAAATACATGGCATTAGCTTCAACCAACATTCATTTCGTAGCACAACATATAAACATAGAAATTACGTGTATACTTATAAAAATTTAATTGATTACTAAATACTGCAATAAATGCAATAGAAAGCTGCAGCATATAAGAACAAACCGATGTTACAATCTATAATAGTCATTGCAAGTATTGTCAAATTTGCTGTCGACTGCTAAAGCATATGCTTATTTTTATCTCTAAGATGTAATTTCATTACTATTCGATAAAGCGATTGTCAATAAACAGGATTTTGCAAGAGTAATAGTAACCCTTATGCTTTTCCATGCCTGCAAGTTAATAATTTAACTACCGTTCTAGATATCGATTTAGCCTTTTCCAAAGGTATTAATAAAATTAAGAATCCTACAGCAAGTAATAGCGTGCTCACTATTTTTAATGCCGAAAACGATTCGTTACGGAAGATCGCGTCAATAACTGCGTTAATCGGTATTCCAAAGAGAGAACCTAGCGAAATAAATACAGGATAGGTAACAGCGACTCCAATAACAACAAAGCAGCTATGTAACATATTAAATAAATTTGTAATCATTAGAGGTTCCCAAGGAATGTCAGACCATGTAAGCTTTTCAAATCCCGTATAATGAAATATAACAACAGGTATCCATCCCAACAAGAAATTAATAATGCTAATAATTGTCAGTAGCATCGATGCTTGAATTGGCGATGCATCGCCAATAGAATACTTTTCGTATACCTAATAAATATTACATACCTTTCAGTACTTAAACTGTAACACTTTAATAAAGATAAGCAGTAACATATATATAAAGTTCGTTAATAAGTAATTATAAATTTTACTATAACTTACACGAAAACAAGCTGCGGTAAGAGTAAAGAATACTGATAGAATAACACCCAAGGTAGCGAAAGAGCCAAAACCATCATCAAAAGCGAACAGTACTACACCTGTCGTAGATAGGCATACCGCTAACGCCTAAGAAGTAATCATATTTTAGAAGTGATATTTTTACTATCAATCGATACCGTATAACGTGTTTGATCTCACGAACAAAGTACTATTACTCTTAATTAAAAGCCCTTAATTTAAATGATATTTCTATCTTTAAAATTATGTATTACTTTTATAATCTTAGAACTACGAGAATACTTACCCTAAGTAATACAAATGGCTCTTTCAAAAATAGGACCGATAAAATATACACCATGCTTAGTACTGACGAAAAAATAGCCGTAATATCGGTTGGAGCCGTAAAGTTTAGAGGGTAATAGGTGAACGCCACAATTAAATTCGTAAGTATGGCTAATGGTAGTAACCGAAGCCAAAAAATTTTTTTAAGTCTTTACGTGGATAAATTTTAATTGATTCTCTAGATAACAAAATTACATCAAAAATAATTTAAGCTTAGTTAATTCATTTTTAACCGATTAAATATAAGTGTCAGTTTATCAATATAATGAGTATATGATATACATGCAGTAGTCTATCAAGCATATTTAATTAGTTAATATGTAATTTAGATACAAGGCATAGTACATAGATTATTATTTTATCATATTAATTGCTATTATACATACTTGTATATCTGACGTAAGGTTTCACCCTTGAAGATCATTAAAACCAAGGCATGGATTGGAAAGGTGAGTGAGGTAGTCGAAGCCGCAATCCTACGGTATAAATTATAGTTATTTAACGTAGTGATATTTACTTCATTAATAAATCAGTAAAAATGCTTTATTTGTAGTCTAATTCTATTAATAGATTAAGATAGCAAAGATGCACATTTTATCTCATCGTTTTATACTATAAAATATACATTGTAAGTAAGGAATAAATTCGCTTCTATATTGAGCTTGGAGTACATGTACATTGTACAGTACATACCCTGCTACATTACTACGATACACTAACGCTAAAATTATCGTACCTACCAAGTGAAGAATGTTATGGAAGTAAAATTATGCTCAATTGAGACTGTAATCTTTCCAAATTGAATTAAAAGGCTGAAACTGATTGCTATTGTGAGCACGATAATAATTCCATAGATTGTTTTACGAATATTTAATTTAGAAAATGTGAAGTTAGAAAGTGAGGATTTCTCTATCTTGTCATCTAATAATTGTATGATTAATTCGGTAAAAAAGCTTAAAATTAGTTATAAATCTTTCGGTTTCAATAAACAGACGTAAAAATGTTCCAGTAATGTTAATTTATAGATGTATAATTAACTATATAATTACATGCAAATACTTGCGATATGGATAGCAATAAAGTATGAAATTGTTTCTACCTATCGAGACTTTATCCTGGGATTCTATAGCTATTTCATAACTGTTTTCGGTGCAATTTTCCATTTTTAACTTGCATTTGTAGGTGATGGTAAATCTAAGAGAAATTAACGAAATTAGTTACGTTGCTTATTCTCTTATATATTATAGCTAATATCATTGCATGCTATTATAGCTATAAAGTCGAACGTATTTGGCGCTCTTAGCTAAAGCGATCTATCAGTAATCTAGTACGTGAGAGCTATGAAATGTTATATAATATATTCTGTACACCTGTGGCGCAGCTGTAAGAATAGACAATGTTAGCAGTTAGACTGTAAGATTACACAAGTATCTACGTTAATGGCGGAGGATATTATACATTTAGGCTATTAACAGAAGAAACTACTTCATGTAATCATGTGAATGTAACAAGAAATTGAGGTCCTTGTCGTATTATTTTTTCAGACACCTGGATCTGCATATTGAATAAAGCTATGTCCCTCATTTAATAGCTATAGTCAGACAAGTTACTGTATATCTACTATAGTTTCGAATATTTCGCATGCTACGGAGTCTACCACGCTATCTCATTGACTGATTCTACTAAAGAGATAGTTCTGCAGTATCTTCAACGTTACACATACGAGTACAATCGCGAAATTTACGCAATAAATTATTAGTTTACTATGAATCCAGCAACAACTTTAGAATAACTGTAAGCGGTTCTATTTGCACTGTAGAGGTAGTTGAGTGTCTCATTCATTTTTAATGAAGAGGAAAATAGTTTTTGATACGAAGTCAGTAGCTGCGACTGGGAACGGTATGGAAAAACCGGAGTTACGGTAAAGGACGATGAGGGAGAAATTTTTTGTCGAGTAGCCCCTGTCTGATGAGTCTTTCTGATAGTATCGCAATTGTATATACTCATGCCATCATGTCATGAAATAACAGTAAATTATTAATATTAAAGTAACATTAAGTTAAATTTGAAATTGAACTCGACTTCAGCAACATCAAACTAAAATTCTCCATGCATTACCTTCACATTGAAAACTGAATTAATACACGAATCAGCTTTTACTATTTATAACTATCGGCCAGTAAACCAGTGTCTAGTAAATACCCTATACTATATACAGACATAGATATTTATTTTTAATGATATTCTGTATCGAAAACCGGTTTTATTACCCATACTGCATCATCAAGGGCTATTTCGACGTAGCGAATAGCGATAGTAATCCGCTATCGCATATCCTGTATACAAATTTGTATCTTTCAAGGCATTATATAGCAAAACTTATTTGTGACCGATCTTGCATCATCACGGGCGATCTAGATGTAATAATCAATGAATAGTATCGTACTTTACACTCAGTGTATAGTACAGTACAGCTTCTACCCTATTGTATATTGTTATTAGAGTCAAGATACTATTTAATTTGTTTTTACGGCACTGTTGGATATATTATCACTTTTCTAGCGACTTATTAGTACCAGGCTAGAACGAATTACATTACTATTGCTATTTGGCTGATTTATTACTATTTTGTAGATTGATTGCCGTTTAGTTGGAAATTACTGTAGCTGTAATATCTATTACTAGTTCTATCAAAGTAATCCTTCAAAATTTAGGGAAAAAGACTTCTAATTAACTACAAAAATAGGATTGTCACGGGGTTTGTTACAATTTCCAAATTTTGTAACAAGTACTAGATCTGCACTCAGCAAGGAGACCCAGTAATTAAGTTGAAGAACTAACTTTATTGTTAAAATGAAGAGTTATATACTTTCTTTATTGTGACCTTTGATCTACTGACGTAGATCACAAGATCATCACTAACAGAAAGGTTTCCCTAGTTTAGTCATTACAAATAGACTATCATGCCAAGTATGGCAACATGAGAATACATATATAGATAACCTTAATATAGTACC